GCAATATCATTGTCTTCTATGATAGGTATGGGAACTTGTTGCGTAGTCGGCATAGGTTGTATTGAAATGGGAGGTTGCATTCTCCCTGACCTTGTGAGGACATCTATAGATGAATCCTCTTCAACCCAGAAATCATCTATGGAATATGACATTGAAGGTGGAGGTTCTTCCATGTCTTTTAGGTAGACATCTTCTTCATCGCTGTCCCAAACCCCATTAATGCTTATGTCTTATTCTTGTGGGATTTGGACTAGATTTTTATCATCAATCATTTTCTAAATTAAATCTTTAAATTTAAAACAGTTTTCAATAGTGTGTCCCCCTGATTAATGGTATTGACAGTAGAATCTATATGTCCTCTTTAACGATTCAAATGGTCTCGGTTTGAGAGGTTTTACCTTACCACTCTCGGAGAGCTTTTTGAACATTTTAGCGTATAAAGTCCCAATTGGAGTATAGAGTTTATTACTCTTCTTGGGTCCGTCAGTTACTTGTAGAGAGAAGGGTTTCTTCTTTGTGGGTGGAACCTTTATCACACTTTTTTTGAAGCTCCTCTACTTGTTTCTTTGCGAATTTGAGAGCCTCATGTAGAAAATTTGTTCCCTCCCACATGGACCATATAAGCATTCTTACGTCTTCCTTGCTTGTTGGTTCAGGAAAGTCATCCATGGCATCGAAAAAAATCTCCTCCTTCTTCGATAGCATGAATTTCTTTAATAGGTTTGATGAGAGATGAGGGATCAACCTCGTTTTCCTCATCAGAGATGACCAAGGAATGAGCGAGAGGTTCGTTGTCAATGCTTGGCTTCTTACTGGCAGGAGGCAATGGTAGTTTATTGTTATCAATTAAATCTTGGATAGCTTCCTTAAGCTTCCAACAATTTTCAGTGAGATGGCCCCTACCTTGGTGATATTTGCAATGTGCAATTGGGTTCCAATTAGCTGTCCTGTTCTCAACTGGTGGGTCCCCAAATGGTCCAATAGGAGTTATAAGACCTTTTGCATTTAGTCGGTCAAATGCGGTGTCATAACTCATACCTATAGGAGTAAAGTTCCTCCGAAATGGTTTCTTTTGTCCTTGGTTGTTCATAGCAAGGACTTCACTCAAAGGTGCTAACATTGTTTGAGTGGGTGGTTTTGGAAGAAGAAGGATTGTCATTCTTCTTGCCTTTCCATCCACTGTTGGAATTACTGTTAGCAGCTTTTAGCTTAGCCAGGTCGTCTTCAATATTAATTCCAATGTCATAGACGGCCTTGAAGGTATGGAGATTATTTTGATATTTGTGATGCTTGGAGTACTTCTGTTGAAGGTTCTTGATGAACAACCTCACAGATTCTTTCTCGCTTGGTACTTCAATCATCTTAGCAAAGGTTTCTCGCTTGGTACTTCGAGCGATCTGTTTGTTGAAAAGTTGAACTTGAATGATAAGGTTGTCTTTGATCAAACACCCTTCCTTTCTTGACAACGCGCTGTAAATTAAACCATTTTCGTTTTAATGACTTGACTCAAATTGACTTTGATATTACGGGTTTATAAAGAAAAAGCAAAAAGCAAAAATAGGGTGTATATTTTTAGGAATCAAGTATACGGTTCAAACAAGTGGTTTAATTGGAGGATTAATATCCGACTTACCCCCCTAAAAAAATGACGGAAAACACGCGCATACAAGACTCTCTTAGACATGGTAAAAGTGTGCATACATATTAGTGTGTGCTTTATATGGTGAGTGCAAGTGACATGCTTTGACTCTTGTGTAAAACCATGGAACTTAGTGCCTAGACTCGATTAAGGACTTAACAAGGTATTATTATTAATAAAAATAATCGAGTTGATTAGAAAAATGTTCAATTAGACACAAAGTGATGACTCGAGCAACATACCAAACTGTCGTCAAAACGACAGGACTGGCGCCGCATTTTGCAGTGTAGCGCCAGACGACATAGCTGTCGCCAGGCGCTGCACTCCACAGTGTGGCGCTGCAGTCCAAATCGCAGCGCCATTGCTGGAACGTTGATCTGGAACTGCTTTCAGTATTATTACTCAACGGGGTATGCCTAAAGTCGTACTAAGTCAATTCTGATTAAATTATTAGACTTTAATTACCCAAATTAATTAATTAGTTAATTAGGCAAAGTTCTTTTAGTCATTAATTTGTTTATTTAGTCTTAACACAAGTCTAACAAACGGTTAGGAAAAACACATAGACTATGCACAACAAATAATGCACAATTAGTCAAGTAGGCACAATATGATGCAATGAGTTTGCAACCTAGCCAGGTCTCTAATTCTCTAAAGTTCGGGATATGGGTTAGTCAAAGAGGCTCCATGGTTAATTGTTCGGATGCACCGCAAGGAAGCCTTACCTTTGAAGGGTTGGCGCGAGTGGATGGGACACCGCAAGTTAAAAACTCGCTTCCATGGTTTGGTGAATTCAACATTCTCGAATGTACTCTTTGTTGCAAAGAGCGTTCAATCAGGTAGATGGAGCATGAATTCCCAGAGGGTTATGTCCATATGTAGAACACATATGGGTTTCAAAAAAGTGATAAAAACTCAATCAAGAAGTAGGATCAAGAAAACAGTGCTAAAAACTGGTCAAAATTAGAACGCATATTTCTGGCTCAGTATTGGAAGAACATGACGCCAGCGAACAGAGGTTGGCGCCGCGATTTGGCTTTGGCGCCTGGTGACAAGAGCTGTCGCCTGAAGCCAGAGTCAAATCCTCGACGCTAGACTCTATTTTATGACGCTAGTTCTTACATGCCTCAGCAGCTTTCTGTGCTTGATAAAATTTTCCAGTTTCGCGCAGCATTAGTTTGATCCTAGTTGTGAAAGATATTCCTCAAATTTCCTATGTGTAAAAATCCCAGGTTTTTAACTCGTTACGGATGCTCTTTCCAATGAGATATATTTTATTCATATGACAATAATTTTAATCAAAATTACGCACAAGAAATAGTTAGAACTTTTCGAGTCTCATCCACTCATTCTAAATAATTGCCAAAATAAATTTTAGGAATTGAAATAGAAATCCTCCCCTGTGGAGTCGCCAAAAAACTGTAGGGAATATTTCAAGCATCACCCTATCTTGAACCCCACTGTGATCATACACTTAAGTACGGTGGCGTCCAAAGGGAAAGAAGATAGAGCAAAAGATTCGCCAACAAGTTAAAGAAACTTGTAAACCTTTCACATGGTGAAGGTTACACCCCTTAACGATCCAGGAGATCGTTAACTCTAATAGGTCTGGAACCATGACTGGTGGCTCGGGGATGAAGGTAAAAATCCAACCTAAAAGAGATTGAACCTACCCTAATAATAGCCCTCTACTTTATTCTAATCGTATTCATGTGCGCCTTCTGACTAACATGCAATAAATAGGTTTACCCTAAACCTTTTTATCTATTTTAGTTAAATATTAATGCACAAATAAAACTATTATTGGCGATCACTTGAATTATAATCAAATTAACCCTAAAACAAGATTATTAATCATCTTATTAAGCGTGATTACAAGTACCAATTCCCTTTAAACATGCATAAAAGGTGTGATCAAACAATAACAATAAAATAAACTCAAGCAACATAATAATCAATAATAATAAATAATAACAATTATAATCATCATCATAATAATGTTAAAGCATAATAATAGCAAGATCCTAGGCATGATACTAACAAGATTAATGACAAACCCTAGCATGTCACTAAACAATAAAGATTAAAGCTTTAACCTTAACATTATACTAACATGATATTAGGAAAGAAAATAAGAAGCATCGCAGGAATCACAATTGTCATATTTGATATTAGAAATTATAGTTATTACCCTAAACATGATACTAGGAATCATTGTTGTCTATCTAAACATCAAATTAAGGAAAACATCCTAACATGATACTAGGAATCAAAATAACAACCTAGACATGATTTCTATATCATAATATCAATAAATCAATTAAAGCACTTACTTGGATGCCTCATACCTCTTTCTAATAACAAAATATACGCGTTAGTAACTTCAAGGAAAATAATAAAGCAATTAAATTAAATAATTGAAATAGAGATTTGGGACCAAACCCTCAGAAATTAAAACCTTTCACGTCTAGGGTGAAGGCAACTTCGAACTTGGCTAGGTGTTTCTTGGTCTTGTGAATGCAGAATTTTGTATGAGAAAAGCTATTTTAGAAAAGAGAGAGAGAATAATCAAGGGAATCTTGAAGAGAGAGAATTAGAATTAGAGAATTGTTGATTATTGAAAACAGAGATTTAGGAGGCTATTTATAGAGAAAATCAGCCGGATGGATAGAAAAACGAATCATAGTTTCGAAGAAAATAAAACGAATTAGCGCCAGACGCTAAGGCTAGCGCCAGACGCTAAGGCTAGCGCCAGACGCCAAGAATTAGCGCCAAGCGCTAATCCTGTCGTCAGGCGCTAGAAAACAATTCCACGTGTTTTCTTAATTTTGATAAAATTTAGCCGTACAGGAGGGCAAAATCGTATTTTCCTTAAAAACACTTCTTTTATTCTGATTAAAACTCTAAAAAGTTAACTAAAGTCAATTTATCAATGCTATTTAAATTAGGAATGAAAAGAACCTTCTAGAAGAATCTAGAAGACTATAATAAATTCTAATTGCGTTAGGAATGATAAATTGATATTAGGCCCTCCTCTAGATCATTGGGCCGCATACAAAAATCAAACCAGGCCCAGTTTAGTAATTTGGCCATAACTTCCTCATTATTCATTGGAATTGGGCTTATAATATATCGTTGGAAAGCTCTATTCGAACCCAACCTAACTATACTATTATTGGACCCTTAACATGGACCAAACCAAACTGGATTGGCTGTTTCCAAAAATAGGTTTTCAAAAACAGAGAGAAAGAAAATAAATAAAAACTATCCACAACACTAGACCTTCCACACTTTCACTTCATTCGATTATGATTCGAGGTGAAAGGTACTCATCACTGGGTTTGGTTTTGGGGAGACACAAATGGGTGTCTACATAGACCGTTTTGTTAAATACCCTTTAGGTATTTTAGAGTATGTTCCCGTCAGAGTTGGTAAATTTTTTATCCGTGTTGATTTTGTTGTGTTAGACATGGTTGAGTATACACAAATTTCCATTATATTAGGTAGGCCTTTATTCCATACTGCAAGAGCCATAATTGATGTTAAAAATGGAAAACTAACCCTTTCTGTAGGAGACGATAATATCACTTTTAATTTAGGGAAAGTTTTAAAAGGACCTATGCTAGAAGAAATTTGTTGTCTAATAGATGTCATTGATATAATGGATGATATTTGTGAAGAAAGATTACCACAGGTTCTTGCAAGGGATCCCTTAGAGGAAGTTCTTTGTGGAGATTTATCTGCAGGTGCTGCAAGCATCTAGAGTAATGAGGTGGATGTCATTGAAAAATCTCTTTCACTAGAAGAGCTTGATACTAAAGAGACCTTGAAGGTAGTGAAATTAGTCCATGAATCAAAACTTGCAGAGGTTAAGAAACCTGAACTAAAACCTCTCCCTTCTCATTTGAAATATGTTTTTCTTGATGAGCAGGAACTATACCCTGTGATCATTAATACCACACTTGATGACCCACAAACTTCCCAACTTCTAGAGGTTCTTCGAACCAACAAAAGGGCAATTAGGTACAGTATTAATAATCTCAAGGGTATTAGCCCTGATTTTTGTATGCACATGATACATCTAGAGGACAACTACAAGCCATGTGTTCAACCCCGAAGGAGGTTGAATCCTAATATGCAGGAAGTAGACAAGAAAGAGGTGATGAAATTACTTGATGCAGGTATTATCTATCCTATTTCTGACTCAAAATGGGTAAGTCCTGTTCAGGTGGTTCTTAAAAAGGGTGGGATGACTGTGATGAAAAATGATAAAAATGAATTGATTCCCACTAGAACAGTTATAGGGTGGCTTATGTGTATTGATTATCGTAGATTAAATATTTCCATTAAAAAGGACCACTTCCCTCTCCCTTTTATTGATCAAAACTTGAGAGGTTGGCTAATCAAAAGTTCTTTTGTTATTTGGATGGGTATTTGGGGTTTTTTCAAATTCTGATTCACCCTAAAGATCAAGAAAAGACTACATTTACATGCCCTTATGTACTTTTGCATATCGTAGAATGCCCTTTGGTTTATGTAATGCACTTGCTACTTTTCAACGTTGCATGATGAGTATTTTTTTCTGATTTTATAGAGTCAATAATGGAATTCTTTATGGATGATTTTAGTGTGTATGGGTCTTCATTTGATGCATGCCTAGTAAATCTCGCTAAAATGTTGAAAAGATGTGAAGAATGCAACTTGGTTCTAAATTGGGAGAAGTATAGCTTTATGGTGACAGAGGGAGTAGTTCTTGGTCATATTGTATCTAATAAGGGTATACAAGTAGACAAAGCTAAGATTTATGTGATTGAGCAATTGCCTCCTCTTGTTAATGTTAAGGGGGTTAGAAGTTTCTTTGGTCATGCGGGGTTTTATCGTCGCTTTATCAAAGATTTTTCTAAAATTGCTACACCACTAACTAAGCTTTTACTCAAGGATGCCCTTTTTGATTTTACTGACGAGTGTATTAAGGATTTTCACAGGTTAAAGCAGACATTGATATCGGCACCCATCGTATGTGCACCAGATTGGACTCTTCCTTTCGAAATCATGTGTGATGCAAGTGATTTTGCATTAGGTGTCGTGCTAGGACAGAGAAAGAACAAAGTTTTACATGGTATTTATTATGCAATTAAAACTTTGGATGAAGCTCAAGTCAATTATGCCACTACGAAGAAGTTTCTTGCTATGATTTATGCTTTAGAAAAATTTAGATCATATCTAGTTGGTTCTAAAGTTATTGCTTTTACTGACCATGCAGCTTTGAAGTACTTAATAGCCAAGGCAGAATCAAAGCCTAGGCTACTCCGTTGGGTTCTCTTGCTCCAGGATTTTGATGTGGAAATAAAGGATAAGAAAGGTGCAGAGAACGTTGTGGCCGATCACGTGTCACGTATTAGGTATGATGAGGGTAAGGATTCTCTTCCTATAGATGACTCTTTCCCTGATGACCACTTGTATGCAGTTGTAAAGCAACACCCCTGGTATGTCAATTTTGCTAATTATTTAGTGGATGGTACTCTACCTCCTGACTCGTCCTACCAATAGAAAAAGAAGTTCCTTTATGATGTTAAGAATTATTTTTGGGATGATCCTTTTTTGTTTTATGAGAATGCAGATGGGTTATTTCGCAGGTGTGTTCCCGAATGGGAAGTTCACAGCATTCTTACTAGTTACCACACCTTACCTTACGGAGGGCATCATGGCCCAACCAAAATGGTGGCTAATATTAATGAGTCAGGTTTTTATTGGCCCACCATGTTTAAGGATGCTAACACTTTTGTGTAGGCTTGTGACTCTTGCCAGAGGACTGACAACATTTCGTGGCGGCATAAGATGCCTCAAACTGGAATTTTGGAAGTTAAAATCTTTTATGTTTGGGGTGTGGATTACATGGGACCGTTTCTCACCATTGACTATGTATCCAAGTGGGTTGAGGCCATTGCCACTCCTAACAATGATGCAAAGGTGGTCCATAAACTATTTAGGAAGACCATCTTTCCAAGATTTGGAGCACCTAGAGCTATAATCAGTGATGGAGGATCTCGCTTTCATGAGCGGAAGTTAGATACCCTTCTCAAGAAGTATTATGTATACCATAGGACAGGTTTAGCCTATCATCCCCAAACTAGTGGCCAAGTTAAAGTTTCTAACCGTGAGATCAAGCCCATTTTATAGAAGGTGGTAGAAAAATCGAGGAAAGATTGGAGTGATAAGTTGGATGACACCCTTTGGGAATACAAAACTCCTTTTAAGACCCTAATAGGTACTACTCCGTATAGACTTGTGTATGGAAAAGCATGTCACCTCCCGGTGGAATTAGAATACAAGGCATATCGGGCTATTAAGGAGCTCAATTTGGATGCTAAGCTAGCGAGAGAAAAGAGGTTACTTCAACTTAACATACTTGATGAGTTTAGGTTGACGGCCTATGATAGTGCACGTGTCTACAAGGAGGAGACTAAGAGATGGCACGACAAGATGATCCTTCCGAGAGAGTTCGAAGAGGGTGACAAGGTTTTGTTGTTCAACTCAAGACTTAAACTTTTTCCAGGAAAGTTAAAGTCAAGGTGGTCGGGTCCTTTTACTGTTAAAAGGGCTAATAAATTTGGTTTTGTGGAATTAATCGATGAGCATGGTAATGAGTTCAAGGTAAATGGTCAAAGACTTAAGTTATACCTTGAAGGGGGCTACGATTGGTGCGGTTAAATTACTTCACCTAATCGATTTCGGTTCATCTTGAGCGACATTTTGGTAAGAAGGTCGTGCGGGACCTAGATAAACCAGCGCTTTACGGAAGGCAACCCGTATTTCTTGATTTCTTGACTAGTTTTTCCTTCTTTTTATTTTAAATTTTTTGTAGAGAGGTGAGGAGTGAAGGAGTTATGTCTTCGTCGTGTGCAATTACTAGATATATAATTGGATCAAATTATGGAGACAATTAAGTTTGTACATTTGGGTTGTCGTTTTTCCATAGCTAGAGGTACTAACGATCTTTGGACTAGTAAAACAGCCCAAAGCCCAATTGGAGGGATCCTTTAAAGTCACACAAAGGGGCTAGATCGAGCATTAGAGGACAAGGCCAATCAAGGGCCTCATCACTTTAGGTGGCCGGCCATATGGGGTGGTTAAGAGAGTTTTGGGCTTCGCGCCCTAGTCTAATTATAATCAGATTATAAATAGACTAGGTGCCTAAGTTTGCAAGTAAGAAACTAACTGATCAGTGTGATCAAACCCTAATTAGCAAACACAAAACCCAACCCCTCTCATAGCCCTCTCTCTCACGGCTCTCTCCTCCTCCTCGGGGCCGGTGGTGTCTCGTGGTGGTGGTGGTTCGTGCGGTGGTCAGTTGTCCGTAAAGGTGGTGATCGTGGTTTTCCTTAATCACTCGACCAATCTAGTATTGGTGGACGACTCTTTCAAATCTCGTGGACTAAGTAGAGGAGCAACGCTTGGGGCTCTATTATCTCTCTGATTTGCCTATCGAATAGATTCGTGGAATTCACGCATCAAAGGTATGATTATGTGTCTTGTGTGTTATGCATGTGATCTTGGGATTGGTACTTGATTGAATATGATTCATGTTAATTCCGCTGCGTAGTACCTATAAACTCCAATAGTGGTATCAGTTAGCCACTTGTATGAACGCGCTTGATCATAATAATACGATTATTTGATGTCCACGTTAATTTTATAATCAATTAAGATGGAGAAATTAATTTAATTATGGTTCAATTGTTATATTTAATGTGATTAAACTTTTGGAATCAATTAAATGTGATTTAATTATGCTCAAATAGCCATGAAGATGACCGAATTTTAGCCCTAATATGTTCGAAATTTTCAAACCCCCTAACCCTAATTTCGAACTTTTCGAAAATACTAGCCCTAAAATATGATTTTTGTGCTTGATTTTGATTTAATTAGATTTATTTTATGATTCATAATTTTAATCGGATTGATTTATGCATAAAAGTGTTTTGTGTATGATCATCAATTTAATTTTAAAAGTTAGAATTAAATTGGGATTAATTTTATGAAGAACCCTAATTTTAAGATTGAATGTTGATTTAATTTTAATTTTTGGAATGATTTAATTTAATTTTAATAAAAGTTATTTTAATTAAATTAAAAACAAAAAAAATTATTTAAGATCGAAAACCGTGGCTGGGTGGCGCAGCTACGGCGGCTGCCGACCAGGTGGTAGTCCGAGAGGGAGGAAGGGAGGGCAGGCGGTCCATGGTGGTTGTGGGCAGCAGCGTGCGAGCGTTGCACGGCTGCTGCCAGTGATGCTACCGTGCTGCTTCCCTTGCGGCAGTGGCTACTGTCAAGGCAGTCAACCACTGAGGCTAGCTTCGACTTGCCAACCACTGTGGCCGACGGTGGTGGCTCACGTTTTTCAGAAGAAAAAAAATTTATTATTTTATTTGAAAAATTATTTCAAGATAATTATGAATTATTTTGGGATAAAATCAGTTTTATTTTGGATAAGATAAAATATTTTGAAAATATGATCTTTTATTTTAAAAGATAAAATCGGTTTTATTTGGATAAATTCTTTTATATTAGGATAAAATCAAATATTCAAAAGTTGTTATATTTGGTATTATCCATATTTAAAGTTGTTAAATTGGTAATTATCCTAATTAAAGTGGTTAATTTTGGATAAGATTGAATAGGATATTATGAGCATATTCCAAACGGATAATAATTGATTTAAATAATATGATTATCCCATAATTAGATTAGGATATAATTGATTTTAAAATTATTTGATTGGCTAGTAATTAGGATATAATCTCCTAAATTTATTAGGATAATCATGGAAGATTATATATGATTTATCTTTCTAGATTAATATATGATTTAATCCTATCTCATGACTATATTAAATATATGATATTTTATAAACGGTCATGAATAATATATGACATTATCTAATTATGATTAAAATATAAGATATTTTAGGAAATGTGTTGATTTTATTATGAACATTCGATGTTTTGTAGTTTAGACAAGCATGTTAACTGATTTATTATATGGCACTTTTTATAATATATGATATTATGTTGCTATATATAGACTAGTATGGCCCATAGATTCTTATTAAATACGATATGTGCATCGTGAAGTATTTTTGTAATCTAAATACGGTCTGCGTGCCGCTAAGTATTTTTGTAACTTTTATTTAAAGTAAATAGAATAGTTATTTAAATAGTGTTAGTTCAAAGAAGCCCGTGAAGTGAAGGCCCAAAGGAGCAAGGTGGATGGAGATCCATGATGATTCAAGTGGGAGCATTTTCATTTCTAGTTTTCTTAGGACTAAGGGGCCATACTATGTCATGCTTTATTGCATTAGTAGATTATGCATGTTAGATTTTATTTATGTTGATTGATGATGCGCTAGAGTTCACTAAATAATCATAACATAATAAATCTAGGTCCCGGTAATATTGAGGCAGCTTTTCCAATTAAAAACCCGATGAAACCGTTGATATTTTATGATGGGTAATGCCTCAGCTGGGTGTCATATAATATCTTTGGGGAGTGGGGGGTAAATCACGCTTTATACTTTTAATTGGTTATACTTAACAAGGTTACCTAAAGGGTTTAGAACCTTGAAGCTAAGGGTAATAATTAAGCAAGTGATGATTAATTATTCAACCAAGAGTTACAAGAGTTGTAATCAGTAAAGAGTTTACTCACCTTGAAAATGTAATGGTTGATGGTAGGGCCTCAGTCTGGTCAATTATTGCACAAATAAAGGATCTTGGAATCACTTAAAATTCAGTTGGGATCAATTAATTATTGAATAAGGTGTGTTTTAAAGTTACCTAATGAATGCGTTTATGGTAATTTAATTATTAAATTAAACATAATTATTAAACTTTGCTTTATTTTGACATAGATGGGTAGCCGTAACAATGATGACAATAATTCTTTACCTCCAACAATGAAAACAAGGCTTAATTTTCTCAACTTCAACGATTGGGAAAGCAAACTTAGAACTGTTCTAAGGAACAAAAATCTTGAATTTTGTTTATACTTACCAATCGAGGGCAGATTTAGTCCAGGCATGACTCTTGAGAAGCATTTGAGAAATGTTTCAGATTGTGAGAGAATTGCGCATATGATGTTGTCTTCTATTCCAGAAAATTGGGCTAGAAGATTCATGAACTATGAACCTTATCTCTTATTCAAGTGCTTACGTGATGTTTGCTATGGAATTCTGAATTCCCATGTTGATGGAGAAATGTATGAAAACGTTAAGGAAATCATTAATATGGTTCCCAAGAATGACGACTCCTGGACTGGAAGTATTAGGTTTGAAACCTACAAGCTCAATGGCGAGATAATTCCTAGAAAATTCTTGCCAGGCCAGTTAGTACAGATTCATGTGGATACAGTGGTTGAATTATTTGACCGCATGAGTATGTTAAAGAGACCTTATGAAGATCATCAGGTTCATGACATAATTCTGCATTCTCTACATGATGGTTTTGACCTCGAGAAACTTTGTCAAGATGATGAAGATTCTGCAATCAAACTAGTTGATTTACTCAAGAATCATGCAGAGGATTACCTGAAAAGAGAATAAGCCATTGCTTGAACAAGGATGTCCCCATCTTGATGAGATAAAAGGTAAGAGTTACCTAATGATCTTGTTATAAACATTTTAACTTTCACTTAGGTATGTGATACCAACATTGAGATGTTGCGCAGGAACTGCAAACAAGTGAAGCTAGCATGGAAATGGAGCTTGAAGATGCACTAGAAGTGTTTAAGTGACCAGAGATAGCTTCATAGTTTTAATTTTAGAATTTTTTATGATGATTTTAGACAATTTCCAGTTTTAATGAGACAATATTTCGGTTTTCTTGTTTTGAATACTGAATTTGGTTTACTTGGCTTGGACAAGTGTTGATCCATGACCAAGGTAATAAATTGTTTTCATTTTGCTAGATATGAGTTAATTTTGTTTTATGACATTGATATAAGTAGATCACAAAAATAAATTTAGATGATTCAAATTACACTTACTTATAACAAGTAAGCTTAGGTCACATTAACCATTTGCACATCCAAAGTCATGGATGGACTCTTATTCTTATATGATTATGAGTCACTTGAGAATTAGAAGGCATGCTTGATAAGTGAGGATGACCAAGTTGCCTTTTAGTAGAAAGGGTAAAAGAAGCTAAAATGACCTTTTGGTACTCATGCATATGATGTATGTGAACCAATAAGTTCAAAATTAGCAAAGAGATTTAACTACTTCTTTGCTTTTACTAACGATTTAAGTAAATATATCGATACTTACTTAATGAAGTAAAGCTTTGAAACATTGAAATGTTCAAAATTCCAAAATGAAATGTAAAATCAGTTTGAGATAAACAATTTAACACCAACAATATGATTGTTGTGATAAATATTTAACTCGAATGGAATGATCATCTAAAGGGAATTGTTGAATTAATTCACAATCCAGAAACATTACAATTAAAATGTATGTTTATGAAGAAGGAATCAAACTTTTCTTTCCATTGTTCGATCCAAGATTTAATGATTTACGAATATCGTTTTGAGGACATGCATTACAACAACAATTGCGAATATACTAAACTGGAAACTTAACCAAATCAGAATAAAAGATGTCATAAGAGTTATGATTTGGAAATGTTCCAAGAGTTATCTTTTCTAAACAGGATTAAGGGTTATGAAATCAATGTATGTTTACAAAGATGACATAATGCACCCTAAATTAGATAAATAGTTATTCATGAGTTTTCTCATGGAAACTAAGAGGTATTATTCCTTCAATCGCGTAGAAACAAAGTGTTTGTTGCTCGCGATAGTGTCTTTATAGAAAGAAATGTCTTCCTACAAAGCCAAGTAGGAGTAAAGTTAGATCTCGATGAGATTCGAGACAAGCAACAAATGGATGTGAATAATGCTACATCAGAGACGAATGCGCATGAAATCAGCTAATTTGATAAACCATGTGTCGAAGCAAGCTAATTCAACTAGCAAGACTTCTACCGCCCTACTAGAATGAAAGGCTTCAAAGAGTTGAAGAGAATAATTCTATTGTCGCTCATACCTATTGTAGGTTACTTGGGATCAAAACAGGCAGTTTGTTAAAATTATGAGAAAAGGTGGATTCTAAAATTTTCTTATTAAAACGGTTAGAATCCATGGCCTAAAAGCAAGCTTTGGATAAGTGCCATCTCAGGAAATGGCTTAAAGCCATGAAATCCAGTAAGGACTCCATGTTTGTAAAATGTGTTAGTCCATAATAGTCTTACAAATAGGGTCAAAACTATAAGTTGGGTAAGCTTATTCAGATTATTCTAGTTATGGATATCAAAATCACCTTCATGAAATATTTTTGATGGTGAACATGTATATGATACAACCTAAGAATTTTGAAATCCAGAAATTCCTAGAAAGTTTTGCAAACTTCAGAAATTCATTCATGGATTGAAGTAAGAATTAAGGAGTTGGAACTTTCGTTTTGATTAGGCAATCAAACAGTTTGATTTCCTTAGTAGAATGAAAAGGGAATCTTGTAGAGACAAGAAGTTTAGTGGGAGTAATTGGTATTTTTAAGTCTAGTATGTAGTTGACATACAGTTTATATAAAATGATATATCAATGCTTGAATAACTCAAATAGTGGTTAGAAATATTATTTCAATATGATAGACTTAGGAGATGTTGAGTACATATTGGGAATTAAGATCCATGAAGTGAATCTTAAAGAATGATTGGAATGAATCGAGAGACTTATGTTCATAAGGATCTTGACAAGTTCATGAAGTAAGACTCTAAGAGAGGATGTCCTCCCATGTTTCATGGTATTACACTCAGTAAAAGTAGTGCCTTCAAAAGCTAATAGAGTTGAGTTGTATAAATAATGTACCTCATGCTTTTGCAAAAGGGTCCAATACTTTTGCCATGAAATGTAAAAAGAAAGATGTTTCATATGACTTGTGCATGTGTAGCAGGCTTCAAGCAAATTCAGAATAAGCATACGGAGAATTACCAAGAACAGATCCTTGAGTACTTGAGAAGCACAAAAGGAATTCTTCTAGCTACAGTGTTAAAAGGTAATTTAAGCAAGTTTTCAAAAGGTTACACGAATACAAGTTTTCCAAACAGGCAAGATGATTCTATATGGTGATCTAAATGCATATTTGTGTCTGGATGGAGAAGGACAGTGAGCTTGAAGAGTTCAAAGCAGAGCACTGTTGCATGCTTAATGTCATAATATGTGTATTAAACTATAGTAAGATAGTTAGAGAGGAAGTTCGAATTAGGATGTCATGTGACTAACAGGTCACCTTTGCCCAAGAACAAAGGAGCCAGGGTCACATCAAAAATCCAAACTTATAGATATGAGATATCACCTCAATTATGAGATCATTGACCGACAGAATGTCATGTTCTACAAAGTTTTATTATGAGTGAGAAATCACTAAACCCCTTCCATGGACTAAGGTATGAGAGTCATATTAAAGTCTTAGGATTGAAGGAAGTTATGTAATTTAAGTTGTATATGTTTTGAGAAAGCATGTTACATGAGAAATGCATCAACTTGCAGAATTATGTTTAAAATAGAAATTATTATTTCTCTTATTTAATTATGGTTTTGGAAATTAAATAAAATGTCCAAAATAATTATGAATTGATGGGCTCATCAGGTTGATGACCTGGTGAATTGGAACCCCACAGGTGAACAAAATTCATATATTATTTAAGTTCCTAGTTTGAGATCATTAAAGTAGACATAAATGATTTCAATAAATGGACTAGCATGTAAGATTGATTGGATAGCGCAATTTCATGGGCTATAGAGGCATAGTGATGCTCGATCAATCACTTGGATATGCATGAATGATGCATAATAAAACTATTGACCTACTTTGAAGTTCAAATATAGAGCTTTCGTATGTATTAGTGGATTCCTTTGACATGAGTGGAACATAAATTTCATTCAATGGATGTTGTGACTGTGGTACACACAAACGTCTAGCCGTAACTGGAGATTATAAAGGATGGTTCCTGGTCATTTCAAAAGTTGAGTGGGAGTCATGTTACTACAAGATTGGATAGAGTCTACCTATTAAATTAGGAAATGTGTCATGGCCGCTTGAAGAGGGAGAATTCAGAAAATACGTGGCCGTGTTCAAATGCATTACACAGTAATCATTTGGTTTTGTAATTCTAACTCAGATTTCAAGAAACGATTTGTAGATTAATACAATCTCGACATGTGATGCAATCATATTATCAAATCGACACATATATTGACTTAAGGAATTTGAAGATTGCACCCTTGTCTCAGACAAGTTAGAGATTGAAGGAGTTATGTCTTCGTCGTGTGCAATTACTAGATATATAATTGGATCAAATTATGGAGATAATTAAGTTTGTACATTTGGGTCGTCGTTTTGCCATAGCTAGAGGTACTAACGATCTTTGGACTAGTAAAACAGCCCAAAGCCTAATTGGACGGATCCTATAAGGTTACACAAAGGGGATAGATCGAGCATTAGAGGACGAGGCCCATCATGGGCCTCATCACTCTAGGTGGCCGGCCATATGGAGTGGATAAGTGAGTTTTGGGCTTCGTGCCCTAGTCTAACTATAATCAGATTATAAATAGACTAGGTGCCTAGATTTGCAAGTAAGAAATTAACTTATCAGAGTGATCAAACCCTAATTAGAAAACACAAAACCCAACCCCTCTCATAGTCCTCTCTCTTATGGCTCTCTTCTCCTCCTCGGCGCCGGTGGTGTCTCGTGGTGATGGTGGTTCGTGCGGTGGTCGGTTGTCCATAAAGGTGGTGATCGCGGTTTTCCTCAATCACTCGACCAATCTAGTATTGGTGGACGGCTCGTTCGAATCTCGTGGACTAAGTATGGGAGCAACGCTTGGGGCTCTATTATCTCTCTGATTTTCCTATCGAATAGCTTCGTGGAATTCACGCATCAAAGGTATGATTATGTGTCTTGTGTGTTATGCATGTGATCTTGGGATTGGTACTTGATTGAATATGATTCATGTTAATTCCGCTGTGTAGTACCTATAAACTCCTACAAGGAGAGTGTAATTTTACCTTTTCAAAGTGTTTTTGTACAGGTTACGAATCGACAAGTAAGGAGATGTAAAGAGAAAAAGTTAAAAAGAATGAGTGTTCCGAGCTGGGCAGGGGCCCGATCGGGCGGACCTCGCCCTATTGGGCACAAGAATGAAGTTCAATTTGAGCTTTATTTTTCCCGATCGGGCAGGCACGCTTGATCGGGAACACAAGTAAGCTAATTTCGGGTGTTAAATTCGCCCAATCGGGCGCGCAAGCGATTGAAGAAATTGAGGAAAATTCACCCGATCGGGCGCAAAATCGGAGAAATCTAGTGACCCAATAAGATATCCTAGGCGAGGGGATCGAGCAAAAATCTATGTCCCCTCATGCCCGATCGGGCAATGCAATTTGAAATTCTGAAGCTTCCCATTGGGTAATGGTTCGCCCGATCGGGCGCGCCTCTTTTTACCCGGATTACTTATTCTTTTCTCCCATTTTTCTTTTCAATTTCT